TTAGTCCTGTTTGGTTTTATGGGGCTGTCCAATCCCCGGCTGATCGGTAGACTCGGAAGTGACTTCACCACTGAGCTAAAAGGGTGTCTGGGAGCCATACTCTCGGGGTTTCTCCAGTCTCCCTTAGGCCAATAAATCTGGTCTTTTTTGTGTGTGTGTTAGAATTTTGTTCTACATCCTTCTCCAGCTCTGTCCAGACCCTCTGTTGTGATCCTGGTCAGAGCAGTCAGTGGTGGTAGCCGGGCACCATCTAGCTGTACTGGACTCAGTCTGGTGGAGGCCTTGGTAGCTGTGGTCCATGAGTCCTTTGGACCAATCTTTTCCTTGTGTCCTGTTCTCTTCATTCTCCCTTGCTCCCGAAGGGGTGAGACCAGTGGAGTATCTAAGATGGCTGCTGAAATGGCAAATGTTTTGTTATATATATTTTTACTACAATTTTTTTTAAAAGGACAACCCAACAGAAAACTGGGCAAGATACCAGAATAAGCACATGACCGAAAAGGGTATCCAGAAGGTCAACATACAAATGGAAAGATGTTCAATTTTATTACTCATCGGGGAAATGCAAATGAAAATCACCGTAAGACACTATTAACACACCCATCAAAATGGCTAAGAAGAAAATATCTGATAATGCAAAGTGTTGTTGAGAATGTGAAGCAATAGGAGTGCCCAAACATGTTGGAGCACTCCCACTGCTTCACACGGATGGAAGGAGAAATGATTACTACCACTTTGGGAAACTCTTTGGCAGTATCTTCTAAAGATAAACATATATACCCTATGACCCAGTCATTCTACCCCTGGGTTTAGACTCAAGAGAAATGTGTATATATATTGGCAACATTAACTGAGCTTTTTCACATACAATATCCTGTATTAAATATACCATGGACTACCAGAAGACAAACAAATCTGTCTTGGAAGAAGTACAGCCAGAATCCTCCTCAGAAGCCAGGATGGCTAGACTTCATCCCACGTGTTTTGGACATGTTATCAGGAGGGACCGGTCTCTGGAGAAGGACATCATACTTGGTAAAATAGAGAATCAGCAAAAGGGAGGAAGACCTTCAATGAGATGGACTGACACAGTGGCTGCAACAATGGGCTCAAGCATAACAGTAATTGTGAGGATGGCGCAGGACCGGGCAGTGTTTTGTTCTATTGTACGTAGGGTTGCTATGAGTCGGAACCAGCTTGAATGGCTTCTAACAACAACAGTGACATCATATATGCACTAGAATGTTAAGGGCAACACCATTTGTAAGAGCCAAAAAATGGAACCAACCCAAATTCCCACCGACAGTTGGTGAATAAATAAACTGTGGTGTATTCGCTCAATGGAATACTAGTCAGCAATGAGAAGGAACAGACTGTAACCTGGATGAATTTCACAATCATAATGTTGAGCAAAAGAAGCCAGACACAAGACTCCATACTGTATAATTCTATTTATATCTGGTACAAAAATAGGTCAAACTAAACTATTGAGTATAGTGATACATAGTCAATTGGTAAAACCTAAGTTAGGTAAGGAGCCCTGGTGGTGCAGTGGTTAAGAGCTTGGCTGCCAACCAAAAGGTCGGCAGTTCGAATCC